AAAAAAGAAAAAAAAAAGAAAGGGTTTTTAAAAAAAAAAAAAAAAATATATATATATATATATATATATATATATATATATATATATATATACATATATTTTTTTTTTTTTTGCAACTAAAAGCTGAAAAGTCTGGTGTGTGTTTGTATTCACACCCTTTATTGCTGATATTTAATAAAACAGTTACTGTGAGCTGACCTAACACAACCCCCCCCAATAAAATACAGCATGTTGACGTTTCTTGCTGTAATATGTTCAAGCAGTATGAATTCAAGGAACTACAGTTGAAGCGTTTGGGAAATGTCATGTCTCATTAATTTTGACCTTGTTGGCTGGAAGAAGTGTCTAAAGTTTCTAACATTTTTTTCTTGGCCTACATGCACATTTTGATCCAGTGTATTCAAGAAGGTGTTCGGTATTTGATGCGGATGCTGCAAGTTAGAAACACAGTGAAGCTCAGCGACGGGGTGGTCCTTCATGACAGTGGAGCAAGCATTTTATCTGAGGGTAAATATGTTCATCTCTGAATAGTAAAACACTGTTATGCCTTCCTGCCTTCCTTTTTGCCATGCCTGTTATCTGCTTGTGTGTTTTGACAGGTATTTTTTCAGACACCCACCTGCTGACGATGATGTACATTGGGGAAATGTGTTTCTGGGCCGTCAAGTATGAGGACTGCAGCGCCGACCCTACAGACCACAAAGAAGACGGCCTCCAGTTTCGGGACATCGGCACACAGATTCTGAACAAATATGTGAATGCCTGCGAGGGACCTCTGCAGGGCCAGGGCTGGAATACAGAAAATGCCAAGGAAATCCTTAGTATTTTACAGTGAAATAAAGTGCTCATGTGTAAAAGTTACCATCAGGCGCAGATCTGAGTTCAGTGTTCAAATGTGTCAAACCCAAATAAATATGGAACTCCGTAAAAGAGGTGCAGCGTTGTAGAAGGTAAAAAAAAAAAAAAAAAGCTGGACACCCTGTATGTGTATGTGATGAAAAGGTGTCTTTGGGTTATCTTAGTCCAAAAGAACTCGGGCAGAGCATGTGAGAGTTTAGAACGTCGGAGGAAAACAAAGACCGAAAAGACAGGAAGCTTAATTGTTTTTTTTTGTTTTGTTTTGTTTTGTTTTCTGCTGATTGCTCAGATCTCATCTTGAATAGTGCTTGGAGCAGTTGTTTGCTCTAAAGATGTTATAATAACTTTATTATTAATATTCAGAGTGTGTTATTTAAATAAAATGGCCGTCTCTACTTTTTACAATTGTTTCAGATTTGAAAGTAATCCAGCTGGATGTGTGACATTGCACATAACATCTTATTTATTGTTTTGTTGCCATTTTTAATGTGTTTCAGATGTAATAGAGTTGTGGCTAACGTGTGTATAAAATATACACATTGTAAGTAAAGCAAGATGCTTCAGAAATTTTGACCAATTTTAAGTATGTTTAGGTGTGTAGATGCCATTTTTCTAATGTGTTGCCTGTTCTCCTATGTATCATACAATTCATTTCCTTCCACTCCACTTGGATAACGTTGGCGGTGTAACCATTAATACAGAGCCTGTTTGAAGGAAGAAAAAAAAAATCTGTTTTTTTTTATGTCCTTGTTGACAATAAAGATATGATTTGTTTTCAGAAAATGTTTTCCACTATGTTATACTTCTTTGGCTTTGAATCCGTTTCAGTCCATGCAAAACTACATCACCCACAATGCACCAGGACTGCCACTAAGGAGGAAGTAAAAAGAGAAGGAAACGTCACATTTGTTGTCGTTTGGCAGACCGCGTTTCACTGGGATTGAAAGTCCTTATTAGTTTGTCAGTGAGTTTTAACATCTGGAGCCATGGCTGGGAGAAATGGGCAGCTGAAGTCCGTGGTGATTCGCAGCCTCAGGCGGTTCAGTGAGCGATATTTTCCGGAGAAAGCTACCAGAAGCTCAATGTTGGATAAGGAGCAAGAAGAGGCGTCACACTTTGGATATTTGGACAGCTTTCCTGTAAGGCAATTTTTTTAATGTTTTTTTTTTTAACAATTCTAGTTATGGTGTGCTCAGCTTCTCTGGTGTACAGTTGAAATTTAGAAAAAAGAAAACAAAAGTTTGTTTAAATATTTTTTCCCCCTCATCTGTTAGTTAGGGCTTTTTTTTTAAAGACTTTATTTTTGTGTGTTTTTAGAAATGTTTGTTTTCCCAATGGAATTGACTGTACAGTTTACTAATTAATATTTCATTTAAATCCTTGTGGTCTGTTAATCAGATGGTTTTTGAGATTTGAAAAATTAAGACATTTAGACTTATCATCATGGCATATTGCCCTCACTAAAGAAAAAAAAGGTCTGACTAGTTTCACCGCTTTCATTAAAACATTTAGACATTAAGGCTTAAAAAACTGACATCTTTTGCTGATTCTATTCCATCAAAACAAGGTGATTGCTGTTTTTTGCAACTTAAATGCTGATTAAATGTTGGAAAAGCTCACTGTTTCTAAGAGGAGGCCCAGTCGTCCGTCCTGCAGGGGAAGCTTATTTCAATCGCTTGTAATCATGATCTTGTTCTTCTGGCCCTGATCTAAATGGCATAACCACTATTGAGAGTCAAGAAAGTTTGGCCACTGTCTCCTATTTTTAATAGCAGGCCAGTATTCAGTATTTAAATGTATAAATTAAACATATCCCTCGTTTCAAAAGGTCGACGTACAATTCCTGATCATGACCTTTCTCTCTCCTGTGGATATCTGCAACCTGGGAGCCACCTGTCGGTACTGGAGGGCCATGGTGAGAGATCCATTACTGTGGAAATACTTCCTGTTGCGGGACATGCCACACTGGTCATCCATCGATCATCTGACAATGCCAGATCTGGAGTTGCTGGATGCCCCGCTCGTCAGTGAACATGAAAGTTTGGATGACAGAAAAGAAGAGGAAGAGAAAAATAGCGAACTGAAATGTGACTACATGTCAGAGTAGGTATATTCTTAATGCATTGATTTAAAGCCAGTTTGTAAAAGTTTCTTCCATGTTTTTTTTTTTTTTTTTGTTGTAATTACTGCTTTGTTTTACCAGATACCTGAAAGGTTGTCCATCCTGCAGACAGCAGTGGTTGCCCTCCCGACCAGCATATGAACTTCTGACCTCATTCCTTCACTACCTCATGCCCTCATCTGAACCTCGCTTTGCAATGTTTGGGCCTGGCATGGAGGAGATTGACGTCTCTTTTGTCACAAGACTGATGCATGCCCACGATCTGTTACCTGTGTCTGGTACTCCACACAGGCAGATAAATGGTAAGGCAATGCTAAGTTTTCCTTTTTGTTATTGCTATTTTTGTTGATAGTTCTGTATCTGCAAATATAAATAAAAAAAAAAATTGTCTTTTTATCATTGCATCCTGAATCCAAGACTTATGCAATACCGTATAAAAACTTTCAAAATCCAGTCATAACCGTAGACAATATACCACTTAACTTTTTGTTCTATTTTACCACATTACAAGCCCAACTTTAATTTATTTTACTGGGTTTGCCAGCAGTAGAGAGACTACTTTTTATATCAGTTCTTTCTATAAATGGCTCTAACTCAGTCAGATTGGATGAAGAGCATCTGTGAACATCGATTGCAACAGTTCGACCCGCCATGGCATGTAGTAACTTTAAAAAAATACATGTTAAGAATTTTTTTTCAGCAAGGGCTTTATTTCTTTTAATCCCTCCTTGAATATCAGATTCATATAGGACGTAATAGCTGGCCTGTCAGCAGGAGCTGTGGATGTCTGCACCTCCTCCAGACTTACTCTATGGCCTCTTGGTTACTTCTTAGATTAATCCTCTCCCTGCTTGACTTAAAGGGTTGATGGACTAAGTCTAAGTTTACAGTTGGGTCACACTATTCACCATTAGTTTGTTCTCCAACAAACATCTGAGGCCTCGATAGAATAGTTGTGCTTTTACTGTGATGAAATTTGTTAGACTTTGAGTCCCTTTCTTTCCACTTTGAGTTAGTCTACCACATAACATCCCAATAATATTTGTTATATAGAATTTGAGGTTGAAATATGAGACGGTATGAAAGAATTGCATGCATTGAATGCATAATCTGCATGTTTTATCTTATTTGTAGTTTTATTGGCCTACCACATGATGGCAGTATTTACATTCCTTACTAGTTACTGTCAGACAGGTTACTAAAATAGTAAGCCAAACTAAATCCAGACACCATTTTTATTCTAGGTATTGGCTCTGGGATCAGCTACTTGTTCAACAACCAACACAAATTTAACATCCTAACGCTATATTCCACGTACGGGTAAGATCTTTATTCAAGATGTCACAGAGTTGTAGTTATTCACAAGTCTTTTTTGTTTACGCTACAGCTACAGTAACTTTGCTTTCTGTCTGCAGAGCTGAGAGAGAAAAAGCACGACTGCAGAAGGGGAGCGTCAGCAATAAGCTCTTTATCTTTGAAGGAACTGATGACGCGGGTCATCCAGTGTTTACGCCTGCTCCTCAGGTGCAGAAGGTGTGCCAGGAGGTGGATGGCTTCATTTATGTTGCCAATGCAGAACCTGGAGAAGGTGAGGGAAAATTTAATGTTTTTTTTTTTTTTTTTTTTTTTTTTTTTGCAGCCATTGGTAATCTTTGACTTTTGAATAAGTGCATGAAAACATTTATTTCTCAGGTGATGGGGCGTGTGAGGCGGCCCAGATTAGAGCTGTGCTGAATTTTGTTGGGGATTCCACAGCTAAGCCACTATTGGTGCTCTCCTGCGTCTCGCGAGAACCAGAGGAAGCGAGTGATGGAGCCAAATGTCGGACGCCCTGCGTTTATGTGGCAAAGAGACTTGGCCTTCCTCAGCTATCTAATCGCTGGATGGTAACTATATCATACGTAATTAATTCCAAACTTTCTACTTAACCATGTAGATAATTTTCAAAGAGTGTTCCTGTGTTCCTTTCAGGTGCAGGACACAGTGGCAGAATCATTAACAGGGGTTTTAGATGGGATTGCCTGGCTGCTGAAGTCTTCTGGCGTCAAAATTTAGGGATGATATATCGGTTTGACCCAATACCATGAAAGAGAATTCGACTACAGACCACCCGGCCACCTAATTTTGATGTCAGTATCCGCCACTTTATTGTTTTCATCTTGCAAGCGTAGCTGTCTGATCTGCCAAAGTCTTACTCGAGGAGCACTGCCAGTGGAGTTTAATTAAAAGGTTGAGCAGCAATGAGGAAAACTGGGACTCATGTGGGTGAGCTGGTAGGGATATCTTTTTTTTTAAATGGTGCAAGTGAAGGAATTCCAGTTGGGCACTAGAGCATAGAAACAGAACAAACTGAATTATTTAACAGTAACTGCAAGAAAACAAAATGCTGAAGCTGCACTGAGACTTTTTCACTTCTTTGCAAATCAGGGAAGGTAGACCTGCTGTAAAAACGTAACGTTTCACCTTGAAGAAAGTTTGATACTTTTTTTTTACTTGTTTGTTTTACATATGGTCACAAATGTTATATCTTTTCTTGATCCTTGGATTTCATAATTATGAATGTTTGCTAGAAACTGTCCTGTGAAAGTGTCTTCATGAAAATGTTAGGAGGAAATGGTGTCTTCAAATAAAACGTTTTCACATAGGCAAATTAAGACGAGTAATCTATTAAAAAACAAATAAAAAGAAATAACTTTTGATGAGCATTGGATACTTGAAACATTTTGTAAGACGCTTTTGTTGAATACACGTGTTTTTATTTCTTAAGAGCAGGAACAAATGATCCTTTTTATTCAGTTCATACTCTTGTCGATTTATTTAATATGCAGTGACTATTAAAAATAATTTTTGCCCCATTCAGATCCCTTGACCTTCTGTTTGACTGTTTTTATGTTACACCGCTCCCCACTGCAGATTATGTCAGTCAGCATCTGTAAAATGTTTTGTCTATCGCTGCACGTAAA